ATACTCTACGTGGAGTCAACCCCGGAAATGTTTCCGCCTTCGGTTTTCGGGGTGAATGACAAGGTTTATAGTGAATGAAGTATACCTAAGTGCTCTGAATTAAAAGTATCTTCAAAACTATAAGTATTTTCAAAAGTATACAAGTATACCGACCCGTCGAAATCCGTAACTACAAGTAGAACAAAACATAAGTAAATGGATGTTGTACACTGCGGTTAAACCTGGGCAGTTATGTAGTTGTGTCTAGGATCAATATGGCCTGGCCAACTATATTCATTCGAGACACGACCAACATGTGCTTGGGAGTGACTGTAGTACGCAGCATGCCTAAAACTTACCTAATATCTCAAACAACGAATCGTCGCTGCAGTGAACCATGAAATATATAGGAGTATTTCTCGAGCCAATCCTTCGTAGAAAATCCTCGTATATGCGATGTTACTTGAACATTCCTCTAGCGATAAAATGTTTTGTCTTGATAACTCTTTCCTACTTTATCGCTTAGTATGATGCTATATCTGTCTTGATGAGATATCCCCTGTTCCATATCTCTTGATTCAATTTAGAGGACTTATGATACTCTCTTTCTTGATCTTTTTAGATCAAGATGCCTCCGAGAAAGAGACCCAGCTCGAAGAACAACGACAATCCTCCTCCGCCATCACCTCCTCCTCAGTTTGACCTAGCATCACTCCAGACAGTCATGACAGCTGCAATGGTGGCAGCCATGTCACAAATGAACCCTAGCGGTTCAGGAGGTGGTCCTCAATCCCAAAACCCAGAAGATAGCCAGGGACGCCGGAAAGAGGGTTCCTATAAGGATTTCATGAACGCCAAACCCACGTCTTTTGATGGCACTGGAGGTGTCATTTCCCTTACCCGATGGTTCGAGAAGATCGAATCTATCTTTGAAATCTGCACTTGTTCAGATTCAGACAAGGTGAAGTTTGCCGCCTGCACCTTTCTTGACAAAGCCTTGACTTGGTGGAACGGCCGAGTCAAATCCCTAACCTTACCTGTAGCCAACGCCATGGGTTGGGAAGCCATGAAGGAACTTCTGCTGGCTGAGTACTGCCATCGGGGAGAAATTCAGAAGTTAGAACATGAACTGTGGAACTTGAAGATGAAAGGTTCTGACATTGCTACTTATACTTCCAGGTTTGACGACTTGGCACTACTTTGTCCGGGAATGGTTACCCCGGAAAGTAAGAAGATAGAGAGATTTATCTGGGGACTGACTCAGCCAACGAAAGGAAATGTCATAGCTGCGAGGCCGGATACGTACGACAACGCCAAATGTTTAGCACAAATCCTAATCGATCACAGTGATGACCTTGAAGAGGCAGCTACAACTACTGAACCAACAGTGAGGAGTGGCGAGAAAAGAAAACTTGGGAAGGAAGAGAAAAGCCAAACATCACACGAGTCTTCAAAGAGACAGCAAACGGTGGCAATTCACGTTGTCACTTCCTTTGCAATTGTTTCTGTTGATGGGTCCTCAACCCGAAAATCTATTAATAGGTATGCTGGAACCCTTCCTAGTTGTGGCAAGTGCAACTATCATCATCTTTTTTCCGGTCCATGTATAGAGGTAATTTGCAACAAATGTGGCATAAAGGGTCACATGGCGAAGAACTGTAAGATGCCAACTCAATCAACGAGTCAAACTTCCGGAACGGGCATCGGTTGGGCCTGCTATGGTTGTGGAGAAGTGGGACATCTCAAGCGAAACTGTCCTAAGACTGTAAAACCTGGTAACATTGAAAGAGTTCTAGCGATAGGACAAGAAGAGACAGCCACCGATCCCACCATTGCCACAGGTATATTTTACCTCGTTAAATTTATATGCCTGTGATTCTTTTCGATTCTAGCACCGAAAGAAATTCATTAACCATCCATTTGAACATTTTCTAACCCCTGTCGTTTACGAGTAACCGAAAATGTATGTCTTCGAGATGGTTATCACATGGAAACAAGAACGTTTGTGTCGTATTCGTAGATTGTTTTCTCAATCCGAGTGATTATTCTTCTCCATTCTATCTATTGGTAAACTTTTTATGAAATGCTTTGATGTCACCCTTAGCATGTAATGACTGATCCTCATTCATACTGTCTTTCCTAGATTCGAGAAATCCATTTGTTCTAATCTTCCTCCAACTCGACTCTCATGATCTTTGTACATCAAAGCTTAAAAAGTTTGCCCATGTATCTCTCATCCAAGTGATCATCGAGAAACGAGAAGTCTACGATCCTTTCCCGATGTTGTTTCTAAAGAATTCTTGAGAATTCTTTCCGAACGTGTAGTCTAGTCTCGCATCGATCTAATCCCAGGAATTTCCTCGTAACCGAACCTCAGTAAGCACAATGTGTGCAAGTCAGCAATCAGGGCATGATACGATCACTACGAGGAGGTAGTGACGCCCTTCGGTCGAACCATTCTCTTGTTCATGTAGATAAGCAAAGCAGTCATACTCGTAGATCCTTTCAAAAGCTAAGGCAATAAAGAATTAGTCGACACCGGGAGCACCCATGGACCTGTTGATCTTTGGGTCCCGTCGGCTACGATCGTAGACTCACGTAGGATTTCCCCTTAGAACCATTGGACCTTTAGTTACTCTGACATGTGAAAGCGTACCCACTTGTTGAAGGTTTTACCCTGGAAAGAAATAGTACATCTTGGGAAGTGCGGAAAACTTAACTTGTGGAAAGTTAGACCCTTCGAGATCTTCGTTAGGAATCGATTCCATAGCCCTCTCCGAGCTATCTTAAGGACTCAGTAACAATCATCTGGTATTCCGCATCTTTATTCGTAAGGCTTGCTGACCTGACGAAACCCTAGTAAATTCCTTTGAGGAAATAAAAATCCAAATTTTCATGTATGAATCAATTGAGATCGTAGATTGAGAGATTAATCATGCGTAACAAAGCCACATCCTGACAGTGAGGGTTCTCTAGAATATTAAGCGGAGACCTGAATGCAGTAAATTCATCCCCATATATCTTTCCACTTCGTGATCTGTGTTCGAATCTTTGAATTTCGGGACGAAATTCCCTCTAACGGGGGGATAATGTAACAACCCGAAATTCATATCCTTGATTGTAACCCTTTTCGTGACTCGTTCCGATCATCAAATCGCCGTTTCCGATTTTGTTTCCGTTTCCGACCTTTTATTAAGTCGTTAATGTGAATTTTATTTTATGACTTAATAAGTGTCTTAATACCCTTAGAACTCATTCTAACGTCTCATATTAATGATCGGAACATTTTTAGAACCAACCATATCGGGTTACGGAAAATTGGCCGGGTGCGACCAAAAGCCCCATCTAACGCTGGTATCGGGTAGAATTCTACCATGTCCCGAACTTGGACACTATTTAAAGTGACTCAAGTCTCCATTTTGAAGCTTTTGCTCCATTTTACAACTATCACTCCAACCTCTCTCCTCAAACTAGATTTTAGGGTTAAAATCTCAAGTTTAAGGCTTCAAATCACCAAGGTACCTTCCCTAATTTGTTATGCAACATCTTTAGCCCTCAAATTCGAGTTCAAACCATGGGATAGGACCATTAACATGAGTTTACGGCCCTAGAGAAGTCCTAGGCTGTAAACTCACATAAAGAGGGTTTTTGGAGCAACAAAACCCCTCCTTGACAAGTTTGGGACTTAGATATGGCTAAATGGCTTCAAGATTTGGACTCTAAACATTTAAAACATGGATATTGTGAGGTTTGAAGGAGTTTATGGCCAAGGCATGTGCTTGGGCCGTAAACTCATATAAATGGGGTTTTCATGCCCTTAAACCCTTCCAAATCTCAAACAAGGCCTAGATATGAATTATAGAATATTGGTTTTAGCATTTGGACACCTTAAACATAATTTTTGGGGGATTTATGTGAGTTTATGGCCAAGGCATATGCTTGGGCCGTAAACTCCTTATAAATGGGTATAAAATCAATTCTAAGGTGTTAGAAAGCCATCCAACACCACCAAAAGCCTTGGAATAAATCATAGAACCAACCAAAAATAGTTTAAGGACTTTAAACACATCAAAATCCCACATTTGAGAGTTTACGGCCATAGAACATGCCCCATGGCCGTAAACTCCTAAATGGATGTCAAATGGTGCCCAGTCAGGAAAACATGGATACTGACAAAAGTCATAAATAGGATACTGACCATGGTCCGAGTCATATCCAGTCTAAGTATGGTTAAGGACTCGCAATCTAGATTATTAACGTTTCAGATTCATTTACTAGCTTTATGTACGTAGTAAAGCTAATGTACATTTAGGGATTGCAGATACACACACAGTCAGGAAAACATGGGGTTTTCCTGGGAAGAACACTGAACATAACCATAACCAGTAAAGACACACACACACAGTCAGGGAAACATGGGGTTTTCCTGGGGAGAACAATGAACATAAACAAAACCGGTAAAGATATACACACAGTCAGGGAAACATGGGGTTTTCTTGGGAAGGACACCGAACATAGTCAGAAGCTAGTAACAGTTCACACACACACAGTCAGGAGAACATGGGGTTCTTCCTGAGTAATAGTAGTACAAAATTAGAGAAGTGTAATAAGTTAAACAATTGAATTACATTTCACAAGAACAATCATGTTTTAATTAAACATCGTTTACTTTACTTTCGGATTTGGAAACTAACTTTACATAAGAAAAGATGGGATTTTCTTGGATAACTACTTTTCAGGAAAACAAAGGAACTCGTACATTTTCAGAAAAACTAACCGCTTATGAACTCACCAACTTTATGCTGATTTTCAAAACCGCTTGTATTCTCAGGTCCATGTTAGACAGGTACCCGAAGATCCTTTTGTGTGAAGATGGAGTTCTCAGAAGACTCATTTTGTATTGTTCATATATACTATGTATCACTTGTATAACTTATGCTTTTGAATCAAATGTAAATCTTTCATATATGTAATGTAATGGTTGATTTACTTTACTTACTATGTACATTGGATTTGATACTCTACGTGGAGTCAACCCCGGAAATGTTTCCGCCTTCGGTTTTTGGGGTGTGACATATAACAGATGGGGCATCTGTTGTTGGAAAAAGGATGGATATGCGAGAAAGAGGAGCCAATTGTTTGAGAAGTATATCTTCGAATTGAGAAAATTTTTGCAACAGAAAATCTGAAGATAGTTGAGAAGATGAGACTGGCTTTGTAGATAATTCTTTGAGCTCCTTTAACAACGTGATGACCTCCATAAAATTTTTGTTTTTAGTTGTAGAGAGTTGAGATAATTGAGGACTCCAACTTTCATACAACTTGGCAAATTTCGTCACTGCATCAAATATGATGTCAACCTTCTGATTTAGAGAAGCATAGTCCGTTCGAACACATGCAATCTCTTTGTCCATATATTGATGAAGCTCTTGAATTTTTAAGTTGACATCCTCACAAACCTTCTTGACATCTTGAATAAACAATACATGACGTTCCTTTTTCGCCATTTGCAATGCCTTCAAATCTCCTTCAAATGTGGAATTTTGAGAATTCACCCTCAGCTCATTGTATTGATCACATAGATCAACCTTCTCATATAAACGACACTCAGAGTCTTTGAGCATACCAGAAACTTTCAAAGTGATCTTTCCTTCTAGCAGTTTTAATAAACCATCAACCTCTAAACATGACACAAAATTACCTCCCCCAAGATCTGCTTGTGTCTGAATAATAGAATTCAGCTTTGTATTCAAGATTTAAAACTTCTTCATTGTCATAAGCATATGATTTGGGAAATCAGCTTCGTCTTCATCAAATAGAAAATTCTCAAAAGTACCTCCAAAACCTTTAGATTCATTCTCAGTCTCTATAAAGATAGATTCTTTAATTGGTGAAGTGGTTGTGGGTGGATCAGTTGATTGAGAAGAGAAAAGAGAAGTAAATGGATTTTTGATGACATTTTCGAATGTTGGGGAATCTATGGTCAAAGTAATGGGTATGACAGGTGTAATTTATGGAGGAAAAGAAACAAAAGTTTCTGAGGTAACATTCGAAGGTTTACCTTGTTCATCTTTCTTCGAATCATCTTCACCTATGATGACATTTGCATCCGTATTAGATACGTATGCAAGAATGTCAGAAGTTCGTGCCTCCTCGGCAAATGACTTGGCAACCGAATCTTTGGGTGGTATAATAGTTGTCTGTGAAGGAGTAGAAGTATCTTTTTGGACATTTGCTTCAAGAGTTTCTAGAATCCATTCATCTTCTTCATCTGTAGATTCAGTAGAGATGATCATCATGCTTGTCGTCTTCTTCTTCTTTGAGATATGTTTAGCCATATCTTCAGCCCTTCGTTTCTTTGATGACGGAGAAATAGGCGCTAGAATATCATGAAATAGGATTCCCTGATGAGTAACATGTGGCTTTCATACTACATTAGTGATTGGAGATCTGCTCTTGTGTTTCGACTTCATTTTGATTCTTCGAAAAACAATGGTCTTTGAAGGAATAATATCTTTTGCTTGAGTTTCTGGACCAACATGCTTAATTAAGGTTGTGTCAACAACTGAAACTTCGTGTGTCAGTGGCTCTTCATCTATGATTGGTTGCTTCTTTGGAATCTTCGTAGACTTAGACTTGTTGACTATTTTTTTAGAAGAACCAGTTTCAGTCTTCTTCGTACGTTTTGACCTTGTCTCCTCCCTTGCCAATAGAATCCCAGTCTCAACAGTAGTATCAATTGTTTGCAAATAAGTCACTACGACTGTATTCGTTGGATCAACACGTTTAAGAATCGCATGAGGAATACGAGCTACAAAAGGAAACTCCTCAGCATCATTAGTTGCATCCTTCGGATAACTGTATACATGAAAAACTGCATTTTCCTCATCATTTGGTACCAGAATCCCATCCTTCTCATAAAACTACTATAGAATCAAGCTCCAATATCTTGCACACGAAATGCCATGAAGAGCATTCGTGTTTTCGATACTCTTCATAAATTCTTTCCACAATTGAGTAGAATAATCCACTTGTAGATCATAATAAAGCCCTACAACCATGGCATATACCTCCATTCGACCCTTGTCAAGACCTACTATTCTTCCAGTCAAACACCTCAAGAAAGTACTAAATAAGAAATTACAAACACTTGGAAGACCAGACTTCTTGAAGTCACTGATATTTGATAATTGAGGTTGATGGCCCATTTCATTAAACATATGAACAATTTGAGGAAAGGGAAAATTGACATATGGTCGGGAATTAGGGATTTCCAAAATCTGACAGAAAAGCATCTTGGACAATCTGACCTTTTTATCATTCACGAGATTGAAAGTAACTGCATCAAAAGCTTTTTCATATGTAGCAGTTGATACGGCTTGAGAAAGCCATGAAAGTGGAACAGAAAAAGAACTGAACATTGCTTTTGATAGAACCGAACTCTTCAAAGTAACGATTAGCATCTTGAGTTCTTCAGGGTATTGAGAAACATTAGCCTCCACTTGATAATTCGTACCCTGAATCTTCATAATCGATAAAAAAGTAACATCATCAGTGGTGTGAGAAAGATTAGCAGAAGTCACCATTGTTAGAGTTTGAAAGCTTGGTGTAGATCAGAGAGTATTTGGGAATTATTGTATTTGAAAGCGTAAACTGATAATGAACCCTTGAATCCCCTTTTATATGTAACCCTTGATTTTGAAATAAAAGCGAGATGCGCATTTAATGAAATCTGACCCGGCACCAAGAAAACTGTGTCGTGATGACGATAAAGTAACCATACGTGAAAAAGTAACTATCACGTCTCTTCAAAACCCGAACATAATACAAAACGTCCCCTCAAATAGGCTGGTTTGTTTGCCCCAATGGAATAGTAACAGTCGGAACCCTTCGTATGGAAGTAAGGCTCTTTTACTTTTGGGTTTTAAAGTAAAGTCATTTGCTAGATGTTTGAAATCATCAGTCTGAGTTGGTGTTACTTAGAACCTCAAGGATTTCGTGTGTGCAGTGTTCCAAAGAATTGATATGAGAAGCAATAAAAAGAAAATTTTGGAATTCAGTGATGTCAAAAATTCAATTTGACACGAAGGCAATTAAAACCCCAGGCAATGGTTGCTTCGTTAATCATCAAGAGAGATGATCAACGGCTTGTGTATACTCCTGTGAATTACAATCGAATACTTGTAAAGAAGTATCGAAGGGCTTCTTTTAAAAGGCTTACTAGGTGGCTTAATGAATTTCATTACATATCAACCTAAACATAAGGTGAGTAATTGTAACAGAAATTACTTGTTTGACCATTGTAGTCAGTGAAAAGTTTGCTTTGGAAAACTTTTAAATGACTTTGAATTTCGATTAAAACTCACATGGAAATCATATTTAAGAAAAAAATTGTGTACTAGATCTTGTTAGGTAACAAACATCGTGGGTTTCGAATTTTTGATCAAGACCACTCATAAGAAATGAATATGATTTGGAGTTTCGAATGTAAGTACAAAAGCAAATGTTTCATTAAAACCTGGAACATAGTTCCCCGTCAATTCCTTAAATGTTTAGAGATTTGGGTTTCACTTTCATCACGGTCTCATGATGTCAGATCATAAACATAGAGTTTTGATATGTCTAGGTTTCGATTGGTTTGATCAGATACCTCTTGGACATATGTCTTCGTGTGTGATTATGTAAGAATTTTGAGAAGAAAAAGATTGGTAGAAGTCACGAAATGTAACTTTGTAATTTTTTAACTAAACAGTAAACTCTTAACTCATGTGAGAAGAGTCAGGTAGCTCGGAAGACTAATGTGAATACAAGCCTGATTGGGAAGAAATCTTTGTATGAAATTTTTCATTAAATCTTTTGAACACACACAATGAGTCAATAGAGGCTTTGGTCAACATGTTCCAGCATGCTTCTAGGGACATCTTAACTAGTTCAGAGTATTCAAAAAAATTACCTGACCCTAGAACTGCAAGCATTACACCAGATGAATCAGCATGTAAATCTTCAACAAAATACGAAAAAAAGATAAGAGAAACAAAATATTTTTGTTTTTTTTTTTGGATTTTTAAAAAAAAAAGATAAAAAAAAATCTTTTTGGAATTTTTGATTTTTCGAAAATAAAATAAGAAATTGAAATGTACTTGTTGCAAACATACGAAATTTAATCAATCCCTGAAAATGACAAATTTACGATTTCGAAGGAGTCGAAGAGTTGACTATGAACAGTAGCCTCTGAATACTGAATGAAATTCCTTTTTCTTTGATTTAGTGCCTCTGAACCATTACTGGTTAACCATCATTCTCCTTTTTCGCATGGAACGGAGTTTCCATCGATCATTCCAAGTCCTTCCAAATTCTTACAAATGAATTTTCATCTAACGGTTTAGTGAAAATATCAGCTAAGTGATTTGTTGTTTTCACAAAATGCACTTTAATATTTCCATCTTCCACATGATCCTTGATGAAATGATAACGAAGAGCTATATGTTTAGTCTTCAAATGTAGCACATGATTATGACAAATTATTATGGCAATTGGAGAATCAC